GTGCCAGGAGAATGGTGAAGGAGGGCTGGAATAATGTAAGTCTGTGATGGTGAACCTATGGCATGCGTGCCAAAGATGGCATACAAAGCCATTTCCCCCGGCATACAGAGAGCGGGGAGGAGGAGGAAGAGGTACGCGCCTGTTCCTCCTCCTTCCTGGCCATTCCAGGCCTTCAGCTGCCTCTCCGGAGGCAGTTGGCCAGGAACAGTGTGGAGAGAGGAGGAGGAAGAGGTGTGTGCCTGTTCCTCTTCTTCCCCCTCACCCCCCTGCGTCTTCAGCTGTCTCTGGAGAGGCAGCTGAAGGCCCAGGAGGGTGGGGAAAAGAAGTCCCACCCCAGAAGTCCCACCCCCAGCACCGGGTAACACCCAGTGCCAGACGGCCTTTTAGTTTGGGCACTCGGTCCCTAAAAGGTTTACCATCACTGACATAAGTGAAGGACGAACTAAACTCTGGATGCATTTTGGAAGAGGCATTCATGTAGTCTCTGGAAGGTTCAAAATATTCTTACTTGTGCAAAGCTTACCTGACTTGGTTGTTTCATTTCACACACATTGTTAGTTTTGAATAAAAACTTTGGTGAGAAATGTTGAACTACTACTCTTCTTTTTTTTTTTGTGGGGTAAGAACCTATCCCTATTCTTTTCATGTTTTTTCTGCCTCTGTTGCCAAATTTTCTGTTAAAGAAGTAATATGCATGAGCACATTTACTTTATCAGCTGAGGTATATCAGTCTATAGTAAAAATACAAATTACTCTACAATAAAATGTTGATTGGAATATTTGCTTTTAATACCCCAAGTATTGAATATATTTTCCTGTTGAAACAATAATCTCTAGAAGCATTGTAGGTACAAGAAACAACATAACAACCAAGTTTATGCCTTCTAAAACACAAAGTAAAGTGAGTACACACAGCAGTACAAAATTTTCAAGTGAGAAAGTACATAAAAATACAAAACTGAAAAGGCTGGGATCAGATAAAACAGACAAAGGCACTAACATAACAAGAGGATTCCCTATAACTATCTTAAACAGGCTTCAATAAATACTTTCTAAAAACTTAGTAAGATCAAAACCTTGGTGACAGGCTTCCTCTAATTTCTTACATCTATAAAATATATAGTGGCTCCAGCATTAGACAACAAAAATGATAAACTTTTAGGATGGACGTTCTGTTTAAATCTATCCACAGAGAAAACCAGGGCAACCATCTTGTGGCATTGCAGATATGTTATTTGCTAGTTGCCATGATACGAAGAACCTCCATGACACAAATAACAAAGGAATGATTGCAGAAGTACAGAATTATAGACATGTGATGTCTGCTTTTGAAGTGCCACTGAACAATCCAGCACAAGATCAACACCATTTGATCCAATGATATTACCAAACAGTATACTAAAGACATTTCAGTTAGTAGTTTTACAAGCTTCAAGCCTCAAGGCAAAATAAATTAACACTTCTTACATTAATGCAAATTAGGAAAGAAATAACAGTTGTTATTCAATTCCATCATGTTTATTCAAAGGACAGGAAAGTATACAGCTATGTTTGCAGCTGAAAGTTTTATCTAGTAGATTCCTTCTCCCCTGCCCTCCCTTTATGGGGCTGCAATAGTAATAGCATACATGGTATTCTACACATCTTTGACTGCAAGCAATAATTACATGGCCAAGATATGAACCGAAATGAAACAAACCTATATATAATCACTTGGGCTATTTCCAGAAAGGCACCTTTAAGTGATAATAAATAATTGCCCTTCTGCTGTGACCTACAAGTGGAACAGCAATTCACTTTCCATCACATTGAGGAATGTTATGCATTTTTTAAGTGTACGTTCCACAGACGTTTCATCTTTATCAGTTACCTTTTTACAAAGCACTGACATATACAAATACTGACATATTAGGCAACTGGATTGATCAGAGCTCAAAACATATTTGCTATATTCTTTGTGGCTGATGCTATTTTTTTAAAAAATCAACCATTTATTTATTTACTAGATCTTTCAAGTAGCAGCTAAACACCTAGGGTAGGATCAAAGATTATACATCTGCTGGGTCCTGCTGCTTTTGCCAGAATTAGTGTGCACACACACACACACAAGTTGCATCCTAAAATTCATCTCAGCAAGGCTGGGAAACCCTTTGGAACAAATATTTTTCCCCAGGGAGGGCTGAAGCAGGATGGGGAGGGAAGGAAAGTCCCAATTCTGCAGTTACTGGATAACAAAACAGAGAGTTTTGCCCTTCCAGCCACATTTAAACAAACATTAATAGCAAACCACTCACTATAGTGCTATCAACCTCTCTGTGCACCTATCTATCTGCAGAACAAAAAGAAAGTATCTTTCACCAGTTTTAGCATAACGATTAATGTCAGTGATCAGAGGGTTGCTGTTAATTTAATTAGCAAGTTAAAATAATTAGGAGTGAAGTGCTACATCTCTGTTAACACTAAGTTTTAAAAATCTGCCATTGAACACCTTGCTAAAATGGTGAAAGGATTTAGCCCCCAGCCATCAGCTTTCCACAACCTGCAGTCCTCCTCAAATCAAGCAGTATTGGTAAAGGTCTGCAATGATGTGAGTTGTGATATAAAAATCTATCTGGACCACATCATCTCGTAAAATTGCACATTGATGCTTGTTTGTAGCAAAATACAGAGTACTAAGTGTCACTGAGATACACTTAAGACAAATAGGATGTGCAGTACAGTTGGCCCTCTATATCCACAGATTCTGCATTCATGGCTTGAAAATATATATTTTTTAAAAACCTAAAAAACAAACCTTGATTTTGCCATTTTATATAAGGGATGCCATTTTACTATACAGTTGTATATAACAGGACTTGAGCATGCACAGGTTTTAGTATCCAGAGGGAGTCCTGGAACCAAACCCCAGTGGATACCAACTACTATATTCTTTTTCCCCCTAGATTTTCTATAGAACTACTGTACAGGTTTTTTTTCTGGATTAATTATTTTATTTGCCATGCAAGGCAGTAAATAAATAAAGGGGGACAAAATTTGGATGAAATTAAAATTACTGTTTACCAAGAAAACAACGGAAAAACAATTGAAAAGCACATTAGAGAAGACAACAACTATGTTAAAAGTTCCCTTTCTTGTCAGTCAGATGACTCCTTGAATAAAAGGGTCTTTGCCTTCTCGCAGAAGATCAACAAAGAGAAGAGGCAAACCTACAGTTGTAGGAATTCTACAGTTAGAAAGGAGTCACCTAGAAGGCCCTTTCTCTTGTCTTCACCAAACATGCCTGTGAGGGTAGTGGGATCAAGAGAAGGGCTTCTCCTGAAGCTCTTGACACCTGGGCAGATTCATATGAGCAGATGCTGTCTTTGAGAAAGTTTCATCCCAAGTCTTATAGAGTTTTATCAACACCTCGAAATGTGCCCAGAATTTTGCCAAGGGCCACTGAAGTTGTCGTAATAAAGAACTTCTGTTCTTCCTGTAAGTAGCCTCAGTGAACTGTGACTGCAGCATTTTGAACCCACAGAAGTTTCTGCATACTGTTGAAGGGCACAAAAGTCATCCAAATGAGATGTAATGAGGGCATACCTCTATGTGACTCGATCAGATATCCCCAGGAATAGAAGCAGCTGGCCCACAAGCTTTAACTATGCAAGCAGACTCACAGGCTGCATTAGTACTGCAGAAATAATGCAGCTTGACACCACTTTAAGTGCCATGGCTCAATGCTATGGGATTCTGGGATTTGTAGTTTTGTGAGATATTTAGCCTTCTCTGTCAGAGTGCTACAGAGAACTAGAAATCCCAGGATTCCATAGCATGGAGCCATGCCAGTTAAAGTGAAGTTTTGCAGTGAAGATACATCCATTGCCATAACAGAAACTGGAGCATCCAGGATCAGGGCAGGAGTACACCCAACTTTCAAACCTTTGGGTGTGTACAGAAGTGTAACCCCATCAAACATTGGTTGCACCCCTATTCCTCAACCCACCTTTCAGTTGCATAGGAACATCTCTCTCTTGTCTGGTTTAAGCTTCAGTTTGTTAATCCTCATCATTAGATACAGATCCTCATCATTACATACAGATCCTCATCATTAGATACAGATGTCATTAGATACAGATGTAGAATCAAAACAGTTTCCTTGGATTTAGATAGAAAGAAGATATAAAACCAAGTCTCATTCCCATACTGGTGGCACTAAAACCCAACATTCCAGGCAACCTCACCCGCTGGCTGCATATATATGTTAAACAGCATGAAGGACTGGAAAGAAGAACCCTGTGCAAACCCACAGTCCAGTTGGGAAATAGAAGAAAGGAAGAAAAGGGAAAACACTGAGTAAAAAAAGAAAAGAAAAATAGAAATAACAGTATAGAATGGCTGCAAAATCTGGGCCATTTACCCTAGGAAAACAACATCTCTAAATATTTCCTTATATTGACATGCACATTCATTGTGTTTCTGTGCTGAATGTTTGCTTATAAATATTTTCAGACTAAACACTGCATTCAATGAAGCTGGAAGGGCTTCACAAAACACACACCTCATTTTTAAGCTTCTGTAACACTGTCCAGAGCAGTTGTCAATCAATGTTTTTCCAAGAGTAGTGATCATACTGGACAAGAGAACTTCACATTTAATATATGATTTCTTAATCATCTCTTATGGACACCATTTTAGCCCTTTGTGGAACAATTCCCACCACATAAGTGATCTCTCATTGAGTCTGATGGCATATCGTCAAATATAGCTGACTTTGGAAGAAAGTTATGACTGCTTCCCAGCAACTTCTTGAAAGAAAACAAACCAAACCCCTGATTTTTCTTACTAGTGCCAGCAAGGATAGAAATTACTTATCAGTACAGACATGCAAATGGATGAGCATGCCACAAATGGATAGAATATGGCAGATAGTTTTACGTGAAAAACTGACCTGCAATTTGAAATGAATACTGTGTAATAAGGACAACAATTTCATTGAAACCTTGTATTCTTTTATTACTGTCTGTGGGCATAGTGGTTTGAGTGCTGGACTATGACTCTGGAGACCAGGGTACAATTCCCTTTTGGCCATGAAGCCCACTGGGTTACCTTGGGCAAGTCACACACTCTCAGCCTCAGGGGAAGGCAATGGCAAAACCTCCTCTGAACAAATCCTGACAAGAAAACCCCATTATAAGCTTGCCTTGGGGTCGCCGTCAGTCGGGAATGATTTGAAGGCACACAACAACAACATTCTTATATTGCATTTTTAACATAGAACACTCTCCCATCTAAACCACCACCCATATGGCTAAGTTTTGGCTTAATGCTTTTTTAACAATATAGCTGGACTGATGAGTTAAACAACCAACTGAATGGATCATCCAACTGATCTAAGTGCTGTTGAGATTTGATGACTCTCAGTGTACCAACTGTGATTTACTGTTCTGTTGTTATTGTCATTATATCTTTTCTAGAAAACTTAAAACATTTTTTTTAAAAAACTATGGCTCTTTCTAGGACTGTTTATGGGATCTTACCAGCTAAGAAACAGGGCCTAAATACCCTAAAGACACCACATTGCATCTGATCTTGGAAGCTAAGCAGGATCCACTCTGGTTAGTACTAGGATGGGAGACTGCCAATGAATACCAGGTGCTGCAGGCAATATTTCAGAGGAAGGCAAAACTACCTCTGAATATTCTTTGCCTAAGAAAATCCTATGAAATTCATGGGGTACCTTAAGTCCACAGGCAACCTGAAGGCACATACACACATATCCAATTAGGAATATATTGCCAATCAGCCAAAGCATTTGGAAAATGATAAGATGTGGGAAGGGATTATAGTGAGCTTCATGCTGGGGGTTGCTTCATTTAAATCAGCAAAGTGGTTGTAATTTGCAGTTTGAAAGGTCAGATCAGGGTGTGATTCCTCCTTCTCTTTTAGCAAGCTGCTAGGTGACTGGGTATATGTATAAGGGACTAAACTGTGAACATTTCTGCCCAAAGAGAGAACCAAAAGGCAATAATTTTCCATACCAAACAGAAATGCTTTTGAAATCCTCTTTCTTTGCTCAGACCTGTTTTTCAGTACAGTTGGTACGCCATACCCACAGATTCTGCATCCACAGATTAAACCAACCACGGTTCAAAAATATTCGCAAATCCCCACCCCACCCCCTGCTGAAAGCAAACCTTGATTTTGCCATTTTATATGAGGGGTGCTATTTTCCTATGCCAATGGAATGGGACTTGAACACAAATTTTGGTATCCACAGAGGGTGTCCTAGAACCAAACTCTAGCAGCCCACTGTATACATAATTTTAAAAAGATGTGATTCTACTACCATTGATTTAGTGTGTGCGTACATGCGCATATGTGTTTGTGTTTATGTGTGCATATGCCTAGCTGGATACTGCTCCCTCTGGCTACAGACTGATTGAACTTTATTTCTGAGGACACATGCATAAAACTGCATTATTATTCTTATATTTCTAGAATAACAGCAGACTCTTAAAGGAAAATCATGAACAGCACATAGCATATAAAATGTACTGCATATGCCACAGAAAAAGGAAGCATAATCACTAAAAGTAGTAGCTTTTAAAAAAAATCATTCTTATTTTTTTGTGAGTGTATCTATATATATTTCCAAGAACTACTATGGATTCAAGAAAATGACCATTTAAATGATTCTCTATTATTGCTACTAACTGAGAGTTCAGCAGAATCTCAAGAACAATTTTAAAAGGATATTCTCCCATGTAGCCATTGTTATGAAGCATGAATTAAATACAGACCTTCTGGCAGCTGAACTTGGAGCAGAAAGACATTAATAACTCCTGCAGGGTTTTGCTTTCTTGGGTCATGGCAACTTTCACAAGGATTCTTTCTACCTCTTACCTTTTCTCAGTAATAATTGCACCCCTGGTAAAAATCTAGAAATTTACTGCCAAACAAGAACAAATTGCTCTGACCCAGGACACTCTTCGATCTAAAATTCTTCAGCAGCAGGAGGGTCTCATAGACAACCTTTGCCTGAGCTTTCTGGTTCATTTCTTACACAGACACTGTAAAATGTTATTTCTCTTATATACAATCCAATCTGTTTAATTCAAATTGGGTACAATGCAACAGACATCAGAGTGCAGGAGGCTTGCTGATCAAGTAGCTCCTGTCCCATGAGATCCATTACAGTAACTTCTCTCTTCCCATATTACACAGCTCATGTAAGACCACGGTTCTCATTCAATAAAAGACCACACTGCTGTGGTGCAACCATTACATTGAAAACATTCCCTACACTGTAGTGCTTATGTAATAAGTTGCTGTTGTTGTTGTTATTGTTGTGTGCCTTCAAACCATTTCCAACTTATGGGGACACTAAGGCGACCCTATCATGGGGTTTTCTTGACAAGTTTCTTCAGAGGGGGGTTGCCATTGCCATCCTCTGAGGCTGAGAGAGTTTGTCTTGCCCAAAGTCACCCAGTGGGTTGATATGGCCAAGCTGGGATTAGAACTTTTGTCTCCAGAGTCACAGTCCAATGTTCAAACTGCTACATCATGCTGACTCTCTTGCAAGAACTCTGGCTAGTTATTTAGAGGAATAAGCTTTGTAGTTTGTACACAAGGTGTATGATGTGTACATTCCATTAATTTCAGTGGCTTTATTCTGGTAAAGTAACTTGTCAACTGTAACTCATTTTCTTACAATGAGAACTTTTGCACACAGATCTGAAAACAACACAAAAACAGGCTCAGGTTTGGTACAGGTGATTTCTAAAAACTAGACCTATTCTGCAAAATACACTAGATCTTAAATTGGTATACCCCAAAGACCTAAGAAATCTGAATGGTCCCCTTGGGGAGTTTCCACCTGATATAGCTGGAACTCCTGTTCCAGATCTTACTTTGGAACAAATGGAATAAACTCTTAGCATAGTTCTTTCCAGACACTCTGTAAAGTATGGACTGCAGAACACAAGTGACTCCCTGGTTTTCCTAGGGAGATAGGTGCAATGAAGCAGGTCAGGAAACAACTAAACACAAGGAGTATAAGTTGTAAGATGTAGTACAACTCAACACAAGTAGAAATTAATTATCAGACCTACTTAGTGGTAATAATGACAGTAAATAATTATTACACACTTGGCACTATTGCATCCTGAAGTAGTTATCCAAACAGCGTTTTTTCCAAGTAATCCAAACTTTATTTCCAATAAACTGCAGAACAGATTATTGGGATTCTCAGAGGCGTGCTGTGGTAGGTTTGTACTTTTGAGAATAAAACTGGTCTTTTCTGACCTAAATGACACTAATTGACAAGTTCCTAGCTGAGAATGCATCCAGAGTGCTACCTGATCAAATGATATATGAGATCAAATTTACTCAAGGATGCAGATAAGGTAAATGAAGGTGTTTACAGATCCAGATGTGCTTTTGACCACAGCTCATCTTGGCTAATTACATCTCACTGTAGGAGGACAGATGAGAGAGAGGAAATTGTGGTCTGGTTCCATGAGGTGATAAATACTTATAGAAAGCAGAATGGACCTGGCTTCCTTGAAAGGGAGTTGTGTGATCATGCTTTAAGTAGCCATATCCAGATCCAGAAGACTGGCAAAGAGTTCAAGATTATGATTAGAATCAATATGAGGTACTCTTGGATAAAACTGACTATCAGAATTGAATGGCAATTCAGGTTCAGGTCTGATTTTGGCACAGAACAGCCTTGGTTGTCCCGCTGGATTACTTCTTGATCTGTCAGCAACATTTGGCACTAGTGTCTCTTGCTGGTTGATTTCTGGGATTTGGTATAGGGAGGTAAAGTGATAAGTCAGTTCTAATTCAATCTGCAGGTTGAGATAGCCCTCATTGTAAATATAAGAATTAGCATTTCAAGATGTTAGGTTTTCTTTTGAAGAGAGTTGGACCCACTGAATAGTACAAGAAGCTGGTAACACACTAGCCCTATATAGATGTGTTCAGAACTTCAAGCATGGAGGTTGCATATGCTGGCCCTTTCCTGCATCCTTTCTCAGTGAGATGGCCTTTTCAGTCAGTGAGAAGGCCTGAAAGGAGTTGAGCAAAGTCATACTCCTCCCTGTGACTGGGAGGACTGGGTGGAGGGGCTGAGGCTGGTTTACATGTACCATCCATACTTAGAATTTGTAATGTTTGCTACTGTATAAATTAGAATAGCTGTTCGTGAGTACAGTCTCAATGAAAGCATGTAAATAATATGTTAAAAGTAATAAGTAAAACTATTCGCTTTATAATGATGTAGTGAGACTACTGTAAATGTTATTTTTAAATAATGAGTAGCATTTACAAAACACTACAAACTGAACACTACTGCAAACATGTTACTTTGGAGGAATTTTGATGGGTTGGCCATTTTAAATCACTGTTTCCTTTGTTAAAAGAATAATGCTGTCAGTAAGATATCAATTATTAATAACTAATGAGTCAATTTTGTTATTGCTGTTGGGTGCCTTCAAGTAATTTCTGATTTATGGCAACCCTAAGGCAAACCTATCACAGCATTTTCTTCTTTGCCTTCTTTTGAGGCTGAGAGAGTGTGAATTGCCCAAGATTACCCAGCAAGTTTCCATAGCTGAGCAGGGATTCAAACATTAGTCTCCAGAGACCTAGTCCAACGTCCAAATCAAATCACTACACCACACTGGCTTTCTGAGTAATATGTTACTCTGAGTAATTATCAGAACAAAAGTAGCTAATGAATGAATGTTAGTTTTTTAGAGTAACATCCCAAACTCTGCTCTCGATATACCTCCTACAAAAGATACAGGATATTATGTAGTATCGAATTTAATTTCACACCAACATTCACAAACGTGGAATAAGAATAACACAAGAGCGTACCCAGGGTGTCTCCACTGTCTACAAGTAAGAATGGACAAAGAATGAGCACAAATCTTCCAGGACTGGGATAATGGGATTGGAATAATGGGATAAACAGTACAACACACCCCAGAATAGCAGCTCCAAATAAAACCTAGCATCTCTGCAGCTGTTTTCAAGTTGAAAACACAAAACTCAAACAATGTAGCCAAACAAATCTGGGA